AAAAAAAAAAACCTTTAAAAATCCCCTCTGAGTACAGCTGAATTCAGGACGCGCCACACAACACCACACCAGCAGAGCCTAGAGCAGCGAGCTGCAAGAGAAGTCATGGGACAAGAGCGTGAACCAAAGGGGCTCGGGGTTTAGATTCCATACAGCATGCTCCGTTTGTAGCTGACCAACAATATATTCCAGTAGTGCTTATTGTGCTAATATTGACATTGCTACGCTTGAGGTTGTCCAGAGACAACGGATGAATCAGGAAGGTACTAAAAAAGATCAATACCAGTTTGAGAGCTTCTCGACTCTCCTTTTATCGATAGCAAATAAACCACCTCCAGACAACAAATCAAACACAGGATGAAGACAGTGGTTCTTGTGCAGACTTGTCAAAACAAAAACAAAAGAGTGTTGGAAGACCTCTAAGCAGCTAATTTCATTATTTGTAGTATTTTAAAGCAATAATCCTTGAACATATCAACTAGTTGGTGGGAAATATCTTCTCCATCAGCTTCCCTCATGCATGTGGTACAATAAACTGATCACAGACAGCAACAGAAAATATGGTCTCAAGAGGGCCTAAAAAATTGCCCTCAAAGTTCATCTATGCACTACTATGCAGCTATAAAGTGGAGGTAGTCACAAGCTTTAAATACGGGTGTGTTCCTATATTAACGGAGTGGACATGTTCCTAGATCTAAAATGAACTGCAACCAGAAACAAATGTGAACCAACACAAACCTCTGGTTTCTCTGCAAGCATGAGAATGACTCCCTATTTGCAGTTTCCTATTTGAATGCTGCATTATCAGTGGATCTTCTCAGCAGAAACTCAAAAGCGTGTACCACAACACTGCTTAAATGTAGCAGATTAGAAAAAAAGCAAAGCAGCACTCGCAGGATTACATCTGTGACACAGGCTTTAGCCTAGCCATGACAATGCAGATACCAAGTTATGTTTATGACCCACATCAAAGCTAAATAGCTTTTTCATTATTGCAACTGAGGTATCGATATCAAACAAACAGAACTGTTCAATGCTCCGACATCAACACTCACCCCACCACGCTAAAATGAGAACGCAGAAGGTCTGCTGACCGTGTGTCCATCAAAAGTTAAAGAGCAACGAGCTGGTGACGATGGGATGAGCCACATGAGTGAGGACTGGAAGAACACGCACCATCACACACACAACAAAGGCAATGCCACTGCGAGCTGCGTGAGACTACTGAGAAAGAGCCAAATGAAACCAACTACTGCTCGGCAAAATGACACGGCAGGGCAATTCAGTGAAGGGGGGAAGAAAAGAAAAGGAGGTGAATATAAAAGATCTAGTTTAGGTTTTGCTCGGAGGTGGGCGCAGGGAACAGAGGATGCTTGGAGAGGAGACAGGACAGCATTGCTGCCTTGGGATCAAAGGCGGGTGGCACTAGGCATGACTGCACTGGAAGACGGACATCAGAAATCTACAGGGAACTGGCAGAGGATGTGCCCGTTGGGGACGCTCGGGCAGGGGCTCCCTTTAATCACTGGCAACGTGGTTCTCGTTTTGGAGGGTGTGCCAGCGTTCAATCTTCTTGTCCTTGTTCTTCAAACATTCGTACCAGTGTTTCAAGCGCTCGCCCTTAGCCGTAATGCCAAGCTGACAACCGCCTGGAAGAAAGGAGAGAGGCAGGAGATTATGTCCAGAGATGATGCTGATGTCCCGCTTAACCATCTCCATGGGACAGGCCAAAGCTTTTGGCACGTCTCTCTTCGCATTTCCAACTTAAAAGATCATGGGAGCAACCAAAGCTGCTCTGCCCTCACAGGAGACCCTCTGGGATGAGGGGAAAGGGGCAGTGCAGTGTCCCCTGTGCTGGATCTCCCATTTGATGGCCTGACACAAACTCCCAACCAACCTGCAGAGTCCCACTTCAAAGTCCAGCCTGATCCACCTCACAGAACAGGCGACTGATTTATCCTTCCCGTACAAGGGAGGCATGGCATCCAAACCCATCCCAGAGCACAAACTCTGCCACTCACCAATGTAATCATTAGATTTTCCAATGTCATAATCCCAGACAGATATGTCCAGTGACTTCTTGGCCAGATCACTGTGTTTTATATCATAGAAGAACTCCTGGAAAAGAGGAGAACTCATGGCACCCCAAGGATTTCGGCTTTCAAGGAAATAGAAGGAAAATTCTGCCCTTAAGGAACCTCAGCTACTCTTTCTGCACAGCCTGAATTCAAAATCAAATGAGAGGATATATGTCAAAAACATTGACAAGGAGCAAATGCTTTTCTCCCACAAACACATAAGCCAAGTTCACTCCTTATATCTAACTTAGTATTTTGCAACTATCCTGTCAAGACAGCATCAAAATCAGAGCCTCCAAATATGGCACTTCCATTTTTAAGATGCAAAAAAGAGCCTGCCAAGAGCCTCTCATAGAGCTGACTGCTGAAGCCAGTCTGATCTTTGAGCTTGGCACAGCTGAAAGGCATTTATTTTTAAAACCAAATATTGTGAGTAACCAAGTGGGGTAACCACTGTTGGTGAGAGTGTCTTCATCTTCATTCGCATGATAATAGTTACATTGATTTAATAATACACAAAATAGATCCATCCTTACCTCATTAAACTCAGGATTCAATGTTTTCTTTTTAATCTGTGTCTTATGCTTCGCCTTCTTTCCCATGTCAGGTTTCAGCCAACTGGGGGCAACAGAAAACAGCACAAAAATCAAGGAATGAACAGCATGAGTTCATAAGCCAGAAAAAAAAAATGTGAATTTTTGAAGTGGAAAACAAAAACAAACTAAACAAATGACTGAAGATATTTAAGGAAAAGAAACGGGCTAGCCGGTTTCTTTTCCCACCTTTTAAAATTTTCAAAATGAATGTAAAATGAATAAAAATCCCAAATACTTTTTTCTCCCCTGTCAAGATTGCCAGACTACCCATAAGAAACCATAAAGATCTGCTTCACACTGAATGTTGACCTCACAGAAACACTTCCTTGCTCAGAACAGCTAGGGAATGTTTAGAAACTAGAGAGCAGAGGTCCTGCCATACAGGGCCTTGGCCTCAATTTTGGCTTTATGGCACTTACACTCTCACAACTCCTTTCAAAAATTGAGTCCCAAGTTTGTCTGTTTTTTCCCCCAAAGCTGCGCTCATGTAAAAGAAAAGGTTATAGGATTTTTACAGCTCAAGAGAGTAAAGATGATCCTTGAACTATGCATTTAACTCAAAAGCAACTACC